AAAAACGGTCATTAAAAATCTGGCAACGTGAAACAGTTTGCAAGTACTTTCTTCCTGTTTCTAAATACATATTGTATCCTTAACACCAACTTTTAATAGATATATAATCTATATTATTATATAGATATTCATATATATATTTTATATATATATATAAATCCATTTGTGTAATATTTAAGCAAATAAAAAACCCTAAGATTACTGACTCACCCAGCCAATTAATCCTGGACGCAACTCACAGAAGTATTTGAGGTCAAAATTGCCAATACGAGGGTTTAATTCATGTCCAGTAAAAAAATCATAAACAAAATATCCTGCAGATAAGACATAGCCTGTTAGCAATACTCTTCCTTCTATCTGCCACTACATTCCTCCCCATAAAGCAGTTCCTACCTTCTACTGAACTTGTCTCATTATAGATTAAAAAAAGCCTTTACATCGGCAAGACAAATTTGAGAGTATATGCAAAATACAAAGCAAAACCTATGTGGTTTGTATTTTAAGAGGCCCCAAGTATTTTACTTATTAGGACTAGCGACTTTAGAAGTTACTACAGGCTTATTTCTCCTTGACACTTGTTCCTTCTTTATTTTCAGCCTTATCCTGAAGTTCACATCACAGTTTCCATCAACATGATCTTATGGTATTACTTCCTTCTACTCTTCCTCCTACTTCATTGCTCTTCTCTGGGAGCAACATCTCCTTGAGCTGTGACAATTGCTGGTCCATCAAAAGAGAGGGACAAAGCTGCAAATACAATACCTTGACTGCAACGGGCTATCCTGCGCTGAGTTAGCAAAGAAGCACGTTGCAGAACAGTTACAGAATGCTACTATGCCACTTACAGAGACGAGAACTGCACTTTTCAAAGAAAAAAAAATTTATGATTATTTATTATTTCCCTTCACACACACACGTTGCACTGACAAAGGAACTGAGGGTATTTGAATTCTTCATCTTAACACACTAAATGTTCTGTCCATAAACTCCCTTTCTTACTCACCCTATGATCATTTCTAAAAGCAGGTTGTTTAATATTTAGTGCTAATTGACTTCCCAATCTATCCTTTGGCCTACAAAAACGCGTGTAGATAATTGATACTTTCTAGGTAAGCAGTCTCATGACTGTATCAAGATTTCTTTTGAAAACTCAAATTCAGCAAAATCAGAGTTTAGAAATACACCGTAATTCCAAGCGCTGTACCTGACGACTTCCCACTGCCAAAATGCCTGGATTTTTCAGGACTTCTCTCCATTCCCAGCTGTTTCAGGAAAAGACCCACCAGCAGGGGCACTATGAAGCAAACTAGACAAGCCCCTTAAACAAATGCTGAAAAGGGAAAGGAAGGAACTGTCCCCCTCATTGCTCAGGGACTAGAGCAGCCAAGGTGGTTTTGTGTAAGCTATTCAAGAGAATCCAACTCCAACTTGAAAGCATTTTACAGTATCAGAGTGTGAACAACAAATCATCATTGAACTTGCAACATGAATTTTACACTGGTAGAAAGTAAAAGTCACAGTATTGTAGTAACCAGCCCTAAAGCTAGCCTTTCATTCATAAAAATGGAACCGTAGCAAACAATTGGAAAGAAGTTATCCAAAATATTTAGAACTCACCCGAATTTCCACCCGGTGCGAGTTCTTCCTCGGGTGCTTTCAGGGACCGAATATACAGATAAATGCTCAACACCATAGAAAAAGCTGCAGCTGACACTGCAAACTGCATGAAGTGATCATACAAATAACAAAGTTCAAATTGAAAGTATAATAAAGTTCCAATAGCTGTAGCAGTCAAAATAAAAGCATAAAACCCTAAAGGATGTAGAAGAAAAACATATTAGCCAAACAAAAAAATCATTCTAGTAGAACCTACCCAGTCCAGCCTTTCTGCATTTTTACTTCTTCCAAGATTTGTCTACATTCCAATAATGTCTTACACGCCCCATGCTCTTGAGGTTCAAACTCCTGGAGCACAGCAAAATGCCCAAGACATTCTATCTATGCCCTGAAATTGCCTGAAGCAGGAACACCCGGAGCGCTCCTACATTTTTTTTTTTTTTTAAACAACGTAAGAACCAATTCCAGATTTCAGTGGAAAAATGGACACTGACACTACTACTGGGTAAATTTAGCAGGTCACAAAATCTTATCTTTTGGGACAGCTCAGATAACCGTATGTTCTCCTTCAAGTTATCTTCATATATACCCTTGATACAGCTAGCAGTAATGACACTATTAAAATAACTACCAAGTCAAAACTTAAACAGAAAACTTTTGTACTTTGAGAGTATAAAATCATGTCGAATGGAACAACGTCCAAATATAAGCAGGCAGTTCTATACAGCTCTCACCTAAGTACCTTCTACTAACGCTTTCACAGGGTCACAATGGTTGGGGTCAGAAGGGACCTCCAGAGCTCATCTAGTACAATCTCCCTGCTCAAGCAGCTCCTTGAACTGACTAATTAATCAAATAGGTAGTCTGGAATACCTGCAAGGCATCAAAGCACACTCTTCTATTTAAGCCTGAAAAAAAGCAGGACTGCTGAAATATGTTAAACCGTATGATAAACCTAGACAAGAAACTTCCCTTATTCATAGGAAATGAAATCAGATCTGAATAAGGACTCAGAACTGTTCTTTGCCACACAAGAACCCCTTAAATCAATTAGACTTCCTGTTAGTCTGTAAATTGGAGACATCAAAGATGATCTAGACACATGGAGTAAGATCACACCTGAACATCTCTCCCCGTTACATGAGCATTACTAACACCTCCGATAGGCAACTGCCCCTTTAGCAACTGTGCAAGGAATACAGCAGGAGTCACCTGTCGCAACCGGATGCAGACTGGGTGCCCTGTAGAGTATAAAGCCTAGCTCTTGGGGCAGTTCATTCCTGATCATTAATAACCACCTTCCAAGAAAAGGCTCATGCTATTTTGTAAAGATTTACAACAGATACCTAGCTTGACCATAGAGTGTATTTTTCATCATCAAGTTTGTATCTTAGGGTACTGAGCACTGCACATCAGACAGTGGTATCAAACTTTCAGAATAAGCAACTGCAACACACTTACCATTTATCTGGTACTGCAGTTTCCTTCCATTGGAAAGAGGCAGGCCTTCTACAACCTAGGAAGAGTAAAATACTGGTGTCTCAACAAAGAACTTTCAGGGGGCAAGCACATCTCTGCCACAAAGGCTTTCAATCAAGGTAACCAGCTGGACACATTCACATCGGAAGATCATGCATTGCTCTCAAAAGCATACTTTGGATATCAAAAGAAAAAGGGTAACAGTGTCAAATGGAAACATTTAAAAAAAGAACCTCTTCCTAACCAGCCTCAACCATTGTAAACACGTGTAGTAACAGAACAACATGAGCGAATAATCTCTTTGGTATAGTGTTCTGCCAGTATCCCTCAAGTGACAAAACAAGGGAAACCAATCATTTGCCTGATACACATATGGCTAGAATGGCACTTCCTGGAAGTGACAATTGCATTCCAAAACACTGGCTAGCAAGAAGAAACAGAGTATCAAACAGTTTGTCAATTTAAGACTGATACCTGAAATTCTTACAGAATTCTATCAAGCAAGCTTTATCCATGCTCTGAGTTGAACTCCTGTATAATGCCTTCTGCCTCTTCCCCTGTAAGACTGCAAAACGCACAGCCATTAAATTCTTAACTGTGCTATTTTAAGCTTACAGAAGTCTGCAGTAGCCATATTCCAGCTTAATATGGAAAACTAATTCAGTTGCTTTCAAATTCACTGCATTAAGAACACACCCTACCTTCCAGTCTAATGCGCAAATTAGTTCTTCATAAAGACCCAATTGCTACTAGACAGCTTACCTTTCCAATTGGCAGTAAGTAAAACAGAGCTTGAAGGAAAAACCACAGAAGAAAAACACCAAACACCCTAGCCTCCCACAGACTTTCAAGTGCTGGGAGGGGAGGAGGAAAGTTCATAAGGCTGGGGTCATCTTGTTTGCACATCAACAGCAAGTAGAATACAGTAGCAGGCAGGAAAAATATCAGCACAAAGGTCCCTGTTAACAGACATCAGGCCACGTTAGAAGATAAACATAGAAAATAAAAAACACCCTAGTTTCAATCCCACTAATAAAGCTCAACATTAACTTTAGTAACAAAGAAGAGGTTGCCGTTATCTATTCCTGAAGCAAGACAGCGGCAATCCCCCAAGTCACGTAATGGCATACAGAGACATTCTTCTCACTCCCACATGCGGTCATATAACCAAACCAAAGGATCACACCCACCGCGTCCCTTTAAAACTGTTCAAAAAATTGTCTAACGAATACTTTACTGGCTAGTTCAAAGGGCCTACGTTTTGAAAATGTAAAAACTTTGCTAGTTACTTCTTAAATTTAATTTGGAAATATTTAAAGCTCACTGTGCAAGGGAAGGCTCAAGATCTTTACTATATTTCACGAGAGAACCAAGCATAACAGCGGTTCTTTGACCGCCAGCAATACCCGCACAGACTGCGTGAAGCACATGACTCTGGGTTCTGCAACCAGAGTCCAAGAATTGGAAACAACAGTTCTTGACATGACTGTATGGTCCATAAGCAGAAAACAGAAAAGCACTCATTTTCAACTGTTACGACAATTTGCACACATACCAATTCTTCCACCAAACTCTAGCTCCTTTGTTTTTGATGATGCTTTCTCAATTGGTTTTATCGCCTCAGAAATCTTTTTCTCTGAATAGATCTCTTCTTTTTCCTTTTCTTCTCTTCTTGGACGCAAGATGTACTGTTCAAGCCCACGCTCTATTTCCAGGTCGGGTTTCAACTTTGGCTGGGAACGAATAAGAAGAGTTTACTAAAAAAATTGCCAGTGATTTAACCTTATTTTTACTTTGATAATTTTTATTTAGGATAGTATTCACTATAAAACACCAATATACAATACGTTCTATTTCTATACGGTACTTAAGTTTAGGCATTTATATGAAGAGACTGCTAAAACCAGTTTAATTGTGATCACTTAGGCCATGATAATGTATCAGCAGCAGTTCCAGTACAGGTCATCCATTCCCACCCTCCTTTATGCTGTAACTCCATGTATTAGCTAACTATCAGGACTAGAGAACTGATTTGACTACCAAAAATAAAAAAGAAAAAAGAAAAATCACTTTCTGTGGCCAACCATTCACACCACATGAGAAGGAACACAAGCAACCAGTGAGGGTTTGATGAAAAAAACCAAGAAAAAAATCAATGTTACACATGTCTAGTACTCTTCCCTTGTGACAACTTCATCTCTCCCCTGAACTTAGTTATCTGTACAGTAAACTTAGTTGACCTCTAAATTGTATCCTGCATTTCATTTCTCCTTTACTATTGTATTGCCCTTTTCTAGGGATTTCTGAGAAAGCTAAGATAGGATGCAGCGTAAAATTAAGAGTAAATACAATGTTCATACCTCCAAGATTATGCAGGAGGTCTCATTTCTTTCTGTACTGTCAGGTTCACCATTGTACCTTCTGGTGTTATTCTCACTTGATTTCTGGTTATAAGAAAAAACCTAGGTTTAGCTTTCTGAAAAAAAACAGCTGCATTAGGTATAAAATGAATAATTAAGAACACTACTTTTCTAGGCTTTTTTCAACTGCAACTGCTCTGGTTTTCTCCACAGGAAAACGAGTAGGTTCTGTATGGACAGTATCAGCTCACAATCAAGAAAAAAAGTTCATTCAAGGAAAAGGTTACAAATTCTTACACACGTCTATTTGGTAATTCTATTAGGAAAGCAGAGGAAATTTCAGTGTCCTCTACATGACACCGCTCTGCAGGACTGAAAGTTTGGGTTTCCATTAAATATCTTTCTAAGAAATAAATTTTCTTAAAAAATTCTTTTAATGAGTCTAGCTTACACAACTCTGGTAAGACAACTCATCGGTTTTGTTTTATTTTGACTTAAGCTTTGTGAAAAGGACCAGGTAGTTCCAGTCATACAACAACCAACAGATCGTACTCCTCAATCAGAAGCTAGGGGAAAGACTCCAAAGATATTTTAACCTTTTTGTCCAATGTAAAGTGTAGCTGTTGGCTACAAACTACTTAAAACGAGCATATGGTCCACAGGCTACTCCCTGGGTCACACAGCTCAAAGTAGTTCACTGCTAAACCAAAACCACAGCAATTTCAGTGCCAAAGAATGGTTTTAGTAGTAGCAGTTTACTAGACTAAGCCTATCTGTTCAGTTTAGATTGGCCTGGGTTAGCATAGTTGAAACCTAACTAAAACCTATCTATTTTCAACAGATGAGCAGAAGGCATTTCCAATTCAAGGGACTGTGTTTCAGACAAGTACCTCTCCAAGCTACCACAAGAGGCAGAAGAAACGCTGTTTGTCTCTGAAGAGAGAAACATCACCTCTATTACGATTCACTTACAGAACACCAGAACCAGTTTTAGTACTCAATATAACCTTCACAAAAAGGCCAAGAACAAACATGGGGGACAAACACACACAGATTTGGTAAACTTACAAATCCTTACAGGCTATTATATTTTTTATGATGCAAACATCATAAAATGCAATATTATCAAATCAGCAAGGCCATATGTATATATTCTACACTTGAATTCTGCAGCAGTTCTCGTACAGAAGCTTCACACATTTTCCATTACTATTTTAATTAACTGTATATGAAAACAGAACTAATTTTATTTCAAATTCTAACACCTACCTGCTGTGTATTGATCAATGCATCTTAAAAGTAGGCTAAACTTCCTTTGTCCCATTTCACACGTGGGAACATATGGCTAGCAATGACTTCAATATTAAAATATTAAACAATTGGTGTTTGAGTTCCGAGAACTTTACTGTACAACCAAATCCACGTGGAACTTAACAACATATGTTTACATTTCAGGAATTTCCTCACAACTTGGCAAGCTGAAAAGACTACTTTCAAAGAAAAAAAAAAAGGCAGTTCCGAGATACACTTTTGCAGCTAATTATGTTGGTCAGGGAACATGAACAACAGCTAGCTTTTACAATAATAAACCCAGTATGCATGAAACAAACCTTTCGCAAAGAGCAAAAAGATTGCTTTAAAAAAAATCCAACAAACCCACATACAAAGAACAGACAAGCAAAAAAAACTAATACCAATAGAGCTAAGTTGGTTTCCTGAATGGCTTTCTTTTTGTCATCTTCAGGTTCCCTGCTTTGGGAAGAAGAACGACGCCTGCCTTTTGCTGGCCGACCAGGAGATCTGCTAGTGCTTCTCCTGGAGGGAGAACTTGAGGAGGACTGGCTCTTCCTGTGCTTGAATGATGATTGTGACTAAAAGAGGGGAAGAAAGCAAAATCTTATCTTAGATGTTCCAAAAAAACAATTTTAGAAACTTGGGGGGGTGGTTGTGATGAGGACTCTGGCATACAGTTCTACAGAATTGTCTCTTATTTCCTTTACTGATGCTGTACAGGGCTGTTAAGAAAGACCAACTACAGCATACTTACTTTGCTGACAATACCCAAATAATCCCATCCCAAGTCCAACTGCTGACAATTCCTGTCCAAGCTACAGAAATCAGGATATGGATACAAAGCTATCAAGGGGAACACCAAGCTCTTAGGCATACTACCCTCCTCAGCCTTTGCACAAGTGAATGAAACAATAGCCATCTCTTAAGCTTTAAAGATGGCTATCATTTTAATTACTTTGCTTTATTAACACATTTGCATGTCAAGATGCAATACCTGTGTTCAGGCAACACAGCTCAAATCAACATTAAAAAAAACCCCAAGTCAGCTAAATTGTTACGTTAGATGTGGTAACTCATTTCATAAACAGTTTTCCCAAAAAGCACTTAGATTTATTACTCTGTGAAGTCTACAGGGCTAATTTTCCCATGTACGCAAGATTTCCACAACACAACTTTTACAAGGCACAAAAGCTTTATGACAAAGAAAGATTATTTTCTCAGCTTGAATTTGGTAACCTGCAAGCACAAAGTAAAAAAGTTTAAAAGTCTTAAAGGAGTGGAAACAGTTATCTAGCAAGGCAGAAACATTTTGCCCAAGAAAAGGCCAGTTACAGGCCATGTACACTGCCAGCAAAAGTGAAACTACAGTTCACATAAAGACACACAAGTTAGCTTTGAACTTATGCAGGTTACAGAACAGGCCTTAAAAATCAACTACAGCAAACATTTAAATAGCTTTTTGCCTCATGAATTATCACATTTGTCGTGGTTTAACCCAGCTGGCAACTAAGCACCACGCACCCCGCTTGCTCACTCCCCCCCCCCCTCAGTGGGATGGGGGGGAGAATCCAAAAAAAACCACGTAAAACCCATGGGTTGAGCTAAAGACAGTTTAATAAAAGAAAAGAATAATCTTAGCCTTATTCTATACTATCTACATCATGCTCAGGTCCTACCCTTTCCAATACATTCCAATTAATCACCACCACTTTCCCCGTCTTTTGATACACAGATACCGGTTTTGATACACAGATATCACTCCTTGAGTCTAGGGCCATTCCTCTAAAGTGTCCGTTGGGTTCATTTAGTCCGTGACTTTGGGCCCCATCTGTCCTAACAGGTTTTCAGAAAGCCAGGTCCCGGAGAAGCGTGCAAAAAAAGCCTGATCCTCTCTCTCCAGCCCTGCCTC